TTAATGAATAATGCTTTAATGTTCTAGAAACAAAGAAACGATAATTTGATGTTATGGTAAGCGTTCCTCTGAAAACTGTTCGTTCAGATAGGTTCTATCAATAGCAGATTTTTTAAGACGCTTTTTAAATCAAAAGACTATATTGAAAATAACTTCCAATTTACTAAAATAGTTCAAACGATATGAAATATGGTATATACCATATACCATGAAATATATATATACATAAATCTTATACTATGTTATATATCATATATGAAATATTATATTTCAAGTGATATATTTTAATTAATATGATTGTATATGATAGTTATATCGTGCATATCATTCGTAAGTTAACAAAAATATTCATCAAGTTGACCATATCTGTTGCATTTTTAATATTTTTACCTAACTCTCTTAAGGACAATTAAAGAGAGGTTTGTATTTGCTGGGATAAACTTCAATTGTAGAAAGACTTTTTCCGAAATATGTAAGAAATGAATGTATTTATACATATATATTCACGCAGAGTGTTTCGTTAATACGTGCTTTAACCTCGGAAGATGATGACTTGCCCGAAGAAAGAGAAAAAGTCCAAGAAGACTTCTTAGTTAGTTAGTTAATTGAAGTGGAGGGAGGAATGAATCCTCCTCAATTAGCTAAGAAAGTCGTTTTGAAACCATATATGCTCGTAATAATAGGTAAGAGACGATCAATCTAGAACCAGCCAGAAGCATTTATAAGGGCAAAAGTCTGCCCTGAGTGTGTTAAAGAGGGGGGTCCCAAAAAACTTAAGCCTAGTTCTGTTCAAACCTAGACATAGGCACGACAGGTGTTCCACTTTTCTTTCTTTGAGAATTGGTAGACATACGTTGCAGGAGATATCACAAGGTAGGCCGAGTTTACCTCCATGCCGTCCTATTGTCCAGTGCCTTGTAAAGACAGATATTAACCTAGAGATATGTAGTTAAAAAGCTTTTAATATATGAAAAACAATTCATTCAAGATGCTTAAGTTGCGTACTCGTATTTAGTGTGAATTTATATCTTTTATTCAAACTATATCATTAAAATTTGATATCTAGTTAAGAAATGTACTTTAATGGTAATTTAAAGTTATTTTAAACTACATTTTAGTCTAAAAAAGTGTTATTTTTAGGTTAAAAAGCATTGTATGTTATTAAACTTCTTGAATGAACTGTTTTTAAGATATTTGAAGAATTTTTACTAAAGATCTGTTTCTCAAATGGGTGCCTAGATCAAAAATCAAAATGACGAAAAGTCCATTTTATTTGCGATATTTTTTGTTTTACAAACCAAGAAATCATCTTCCATGGTTAAAGCACATTTATTCAAAATACTTTATATATATCTATTCACAAGGCCATATTCCATATATTTACATATGTGTACTTAGATCTGTTTATCACTGTAAGTTCCGTGTCTGTAGTATTCACATATAAAGTACTATAGATATTCTATTGTACTTTTCTATCTTTGAACGAACCAGCCGGTAGTACAGCCAATAATATAACTACTACAGTATTCGCATAGATTTATTGTTAGAAAAAAATTAATAGATTGTAGATTAAAATATCTATGATTAAACAACTAACAATAATAGAGATAAGTGATTGGAGAAAATCTTACATAAAATAAAAAAATAATAGATGAATCAGGGATAATATTTTAATATAATTGATTTGTTTGCATATCGTTTAATAAAATCAAATTAAAATCAATAATCTAATGAAAAATACGATATTTAAATGCTTAATATTAAATATAATAATAATAATAATATTTATTAGTATTAATAAATTTTAACTTATTATAACTTGCATTTTTAAATTTATTTAAGTACCCATAACTAATGCAAAAATAAGTGGTATCTATATCTGGAAGAGTCATATTTCATGAATTGTAGTTTATTAGACAGCTCAGTACCTCGATTTTTCAAGAAAATAAATTTGAAACATTTGTAGAGAAAACGTTCTTTGGGGATTTTTTACTAATTATCATTACCTTATATTGCAGATGTAATAAAAATTTTAGTAAGCTGTTTCTATAATATCAGAAACTAATTAAAATCAGAAAAAAGGTGAACATATTTCTAATTTATGAAGAAACTAAATGAAATTTACAAATTTATTATTAATTTTAAATTCAAGTTGAGATTATATTCTAAATAACAGTTGTAGGTATAAAAAATATTGTTAAAAAAAAAATCATTGAAAATGACATTACAAATTTATGGTAAATATTATTAACACAATGAAAGTTCTCTAATGCAGACACCACCGAGAAAATCAATTCTGTATCGCTAAGAGAACTGTAGGTTTAGATGAATACGTATTATTTGAACTATTAGGCCGTTAAGAGAAATGTCCATTGACCAGAGCATGCGCTAAACACCACGAGGATAGATTACTCCCTGTATCTTAGTAGATGTGGTATAGAATAGGGACAAGAAAAAATGATCATGTTCAAAATGATGTTCAGTTCATCATGCTTTGGACCTGTCTTGGCTTCAATGAAACCAAAACTGTTTAATTGCTTATACTGCCAGAAAATGCAATAAGTGATTCAAGCAAGCGTTCGATGACTATATAGTTTTCAGAACTAGAGCTTAAACATGAATTACTTGACCCTTAATTTAAGTATCGTTAGATCATCGAAGTTATTGAAGTATTTAAAGTCATTGTTCTATCAGCATAAGTCAATAACGATTCCAGTGAAGGAAGTAAACATTGACTGCACTATTCGTAAGATATATCCTTCAATATTCGGAAAACTATAGAAAAATGGAAGCTCTGATTTAAAACTTGTGAGATGTTTTTATAACAATTAATTGATCAAAACTATTTTTAACTATTAATATAATTATTATAATATTTTAATATTAATATAATATTATTATAATGTTTGTGTTCTTCCAGTTTAAGTTCTATATCTCTTATAAGAGATCTTGTATTTGATAGATACATGTTGATCAATAATTGAAATGCAATTAGAATAAAATCAGAATAATATAAAAATAATATCAAAATAAACTAAGAATAATATCAGAATAAAATCTGAATAATATCATATTCTTTATCTGACTCTAGATATATATGTGACATACATATTCGAAACTAAAATCCCTTCTTTTTTTTCATAAAAGAAATAACTTTATATTACCTATATTATATTCTAATATAATATATATATATTCAAATAGTGTGAAATATATGTGTAATTGTTATAGATAATAACACAAGATAGTTCAATATAAAGCTAAAAGTCTTTAAAGTGAACTTTAAAGCCTCAATTCCTTTCTGACGCTATCTATACTTATAACTCTCTTCTCTTAATAACTTCTCTTAATATATATGCGTCTACGTACTTATATTACACCATTTAATAATACCAAATATGTTCTCAAATATCAAATAAATTGCCAAATTTTATTTTAATTACAATACACATCCCATAACTTAAATAATATAAAATTATCTTGAAGCTATACATCACTGAACATAACTGAAGCTTTAAAAATATTTAAAAAATAATTTTCTTTTATATCCTATGATGAGAAATGTGTCTTTAAATAAAAAATATTTATTGACCATTAATTACCAGGTACTGAGAACTACTGCAACGAACGGAGAACTGTGGTACCAATGACCTAGACTTTCCATAATCTGCACAGTTAAACAATTGACCTTTTGAGTCCATTCAGATACTTAAGTGTTTATATGATCTCCTCATCAAATAAACATTTGTTTATACAAAAAGATGGAATCATATACATATATATACCTATATATATATATATATACCCATATATTATATATATTATATATATTATATATATATATATATATATTATATTATATGCATACCTATATATATTCATTATTATTTTATTTTATTTTATTTATATATATATATTTTTATTTTTATTTTATTTTATTTTTATCTTATTTTTATTTTTTATTTTATTTTTATTTTTATTTTTATTTTTATTTTATTTTATTTTTATTTCATTTTATTTTTATTTTATTTTATTTGTATTTATATTTTGTTTTTATTTTTATTTTATTTTATTTTATTTTATTTTATTTTATTTTATTTTATTTTTATTTTATATTATTTTATATTATTTTTATTTATTTTTTATGTATCGAAATTGAATGTGAAAAAAATTCATAAACAAACTAATTTTTTTCGAAATGCGAAATACTCGGATAACAAAAACTACAAAAATCTTAATAAACATAACAAATTTGAATTTACAAAATGGAATGTAAATTCAATACAATAAAACCGGGAATTTTATTGGATTAACAACAAAAACCTAAGCAGACATCGTTGTGGTTGACATCATCTGTTTACATAAAAATATTTGAAATTATTAGAAATAAAAACAAAAAAAAAGATGACAGCGAAACAGCTTTACAATGGAAAATAGCGGAATGACGGAATGGAAACTTAAAACAAAAATAAAAACAAAAACAAAAACAAAATTGAAAACAATAATGAAAATAAAAATAAACTAATTATTAGAAAACTCATACGTAAACAAACTTATAATTGCAGTGCCCAAAAGAAGAAAGAAAAGCTATTCTTAGTAATAGTCAAACGTGCCACAACAACTGTTGAGATCATTTAACTCAAAATCAAAATTAACAACTTCGACTCAAAACAATCACTCAAAATAAACTTAACTTCAAACGAAATAGGCCTAAATGCATAAGCTATGAGTGTTGAATAAACTTTGGTATAAGCTTCTTGCAGACAAAACTGAATTTGTTTTCTTAACTAAACAGAGTGTGTGGAATATGTATACACACATCAGTGTACGTCTATATCATTCTTTCGTACATATGCATATGTGTGTTTGCTAATGTGAAAAATGTGAAAAACTAGAAAAAAGTAATCACTCACAACAGAAGTCAACTCAAATAAATAAAAAGTCAACTCACAACAAAAAAAAAAGAAAAAATGTTTTTTTGTGGATTTCAGCAGCTGAAAATGTGGTGTGGCACAACACCCAACTCAGTCGCTCCAGTGCCGAGTTGCTTGTAAGACGTTTCCGAAAAATCTTTCCCTCAGAAAATTTAAGAAGAATTTTGTTTAAGGTTTGTGTGTTTGTGTTAAAAACGAAAATATTAAATAAAAAAAAATAATTTGAATAAAAAAACAATTACACATAATACTTTTTTAATAAAATGTGCAATGTAGTTTTTGTTTACAATATTTTTGTGTTCAACAAAAAATTAAAAAAAAAAAAATTTAGTTTAAATTTAATTAAAATACATTTAGTGTTTTTTTTCGTTAATAAATTTGGACTATTAATTTTATTAATTAAAATTAATTTATTTTTAATTGTAAATTGTTTAATTTGTAGTGCAAAAATGATGTCTTCAATGAAATATCTTCTTGCTGTGGCTATCATTGCCAGTTTATCTTGCTCAGGTAAGTTATAAACAAGAACATCCATTAGTAAAAGATATAACATATATGCTTAGGATCGCTTTCGCCGTCTTAAGTATATATGAGATCAGCAAAGTTGATGACTTAAGTCAGTATTGCAATTTAATTTACGAACACGAAATCGGTCCCGAAAGTGAATAACAGATAGGTTACAAGTTCCAACTACAAAAACAGTCCTTAATATACATAACTACTAAAAAGCATAATTAGGCGTGGTCTTTAATTATTTTATGAGTTCATTCAGAGTTACAGTTAGAATATGTTTAAATATATTTATAAAAACAACAATATTAGTATGTAGTACAGGGTGTGTCAATGACAGTTACTAGCTATTCAAATGTAATGCTAAAGAACTAGTTTTTTCATGATGTCATGTTGGAAAATATCTTAAGTTGGTATATTCTAACTGAAACAACTTTGACTTTAGAAAACTAAAAAAAAAATTTAAAAACAAAAATTATGAAAAAATTAATACTTAATAAAAATCATAATAATATTAACAAAATTAAAAAAAGTTAATTAAACTTTTCTTAAAGTTTTGATATCCATGGCATATCCGTATTATAATTAAAATAATAATTATTATTAATAATAAATAATTAATTAAAATATAATTTTAGATCAATTTTCAAATAAATAAATTTAAATTTTAAAATAATTAACATAAATAAAAAATAATTTCAATACTTAAATTTTCTCACTTTTAAAATATTTCTACTGAAAAATCAATTTTTAAATAAATAAATTTTAATTTTTAAATAACTCATTTAATAATGGATTATTTCTACCACAAAATTTTCCCTTTTAAAAGAAAATTTTACTGAAAAATTCATTTGTTTAAAATTCATTTTTGTGTTTTTTTTTCCTCACTATTAGATTTTATTTCGAAACAAAATTATTTTTATGAAACATAAGCATAGTTATTTTAATTAAAAAATATACTGGTTTAAATACTAATTTCTGTAGTTAAATTACCCACATTTTCATATCACTCCAAATGTGTCAAGATTTTAATTAAAAAATTCATTCTATTAGAAATTAAATTGGAAATTCTTAATTTAAAAAAATGCATTTTGAAAAATACATTTAATTAAAAACTAAATTCTATAGTTAAATTACTGGTTCCCTTATATTATCCCACATCACAAAAACTTTTATTAATAAAACTAAAATTTATTAAAATATCTCATTAATTAAAAAATTATTTTTGTAATTTATACACGTTTACTTCAAAACAAAGTAAATTTTTAAAACTTAATCATTTTAATTATAATGTTCACTTAATATCGTTTCATATCGGAATAATTATCAGTATTTCCATATTACCCATTGTTTTCGAACCTCGTTTAATTAAATTAATTTAATTAAATTATTTTTTTTTGTTCTCCAATTTTTTTACTCTTATTTTTCTTATAATTTTTACTTCAACGCATGATATATGTGAAATAATTATTTTTTTTTTTTGCATATATATTTTTCTGTATGTTAATATTCAGTTAATAAGATCTAAAAATAATAATAAATTTTTAATATGTTAATATTAATTTAAATATGTTGTATTTATTATTTGAAAGCTTATTGGTATTAAGAATTATTTAAACACGGTGATTATATGATAAATCAACATTAATATTTAACATAAAAAATAATATTAATATACTGTATTTTTATATAATAGAAAATTATATTTGTAATTATTTAAAAAACAATTAATTTTAAAAACTAAAGACTGTAATGTAAAAATATTAATTTTAGCTATGAAGAATATAAAAAATATATTATAATTCTATTTTAAAAAATAACTAAGCCTTAAAAATTTTTTTAATGAGAAAAGTAAACTGATATTTAATTAATTATGAAGTATTTAAAAAACAGATGATAAAAATAAAATACTTTGTGTAAACAAAATAATTATTTAATGTATTAATAAATATATTTAATAAGCATATTAAAATGATTTTTATATTTTAATATAATAAAAAAATAATACACGTAAATAAATATTGAAGAAAATTAAAGAAAAATTTAAAATAAAAATTTTTTAATAAATTCTGTTCTAAATTAATTATTTTACTAAATATATTAAAAAATGTAGATAACTATTTAAGTAAACAATTAAATTTATTAAATTTTGTTGTTTAATTAAACAAATGCTATTTTCTTATATTTATAAGAGGGCTAATTAATTAATGTTATACAACTTGTTAAAATTATATATTTTTAAAATTTTATTTTATTATCATCAATATGTATAATGTAGTACATAGTTTCGTTCCGGGTGCTAGAGTACACTTAAGATGATAGTCTTAAAAATATTGATGGCAATGAAATATATTCTTTAAAAATAGTTTAAAAAATATTAAACTAATATATATATATAATAATTAATATATATATATATACATATTCATATAAATATATATATATATATACATACATTTATATATATAAAAACAAGTATATTATTTAATATGGACCTATTAACCCGTTCAAAAATATATTTATTAAGATTTATAAAATTTTTTAATTTCAAAATTATGATAATTTATAACATAAATTATAAATTTTTATATATTAAAAACCAAAGTAGCACATTTTTCTTTAAGATATTATTTGCGAAAAGTATTTAACTGAAATAATATTTGTTCTTATTTCAAAAGATATCTCTGAGCAAACACATTTAAAACTATAAGAAGACCTATATACACATATATATATTTATAAAAATGACATAATTTATAAAAACCAGTGCACATAAATATTATACATTAACGTATGTTTTGCTTTAAATTTTGTTTGCGCAAAAAAAATATTATATTATCCATATCCTTATATATATAGATACATATATAAATACATAATAAATATTTTTAATATGCATAATTTCATATAGGTATTTATTTAAGAATTAAATTGAACTGTATATGTATATAGAAAATATACTTATATACGAACACTTATTATTATATAATTTTCGTCCGTTTAATAGAGGCGTCCGCTTAACAGGGGCTAAGCTACTCTAAACAATGAAAAAAAAAACAATTGGGTTTTCGATATATTGTCCCCACAAGTGAATTGTCCCCGGCGTTACTTTCATGTGCTGTAGTACTAGCACAGATGTCGTTAAGCTTAACACTATAAGGTGTCTGAGTTTCAATATGTCAGAGAAAGCGTTTTATTATAAATGAATAAATCTTCCCTAGGGTGAGAGTTCGTACAAAATGACTACAGACCAAAATCGAATTTAATTCAAAAAGTTTTAATTTCTCCTATTTGTTTTTCTGTTGATTGTAGTATTTAAAGTGAAGTATGTAATTAACTTATCAATCATATATATTAAGTATAATAGTTATAGGGATATACTACCAATATCTTACTACCAATATCTTGTACCAAGATGAGGTTAAACTACACAATATATTTTGTTTCATTTTTTTTAGCAGTTCATTTATTTAATTTAAATAAGATTTAGCACCACTTTTATATATAGTCAAAAATGTATCTATAAATGTAAATATATAATGTGTATGTATAGAAAATATTATTTTCATTTGTGTCACTTTCAAATAATAATTTAAACCTAAAACTATAACTCCTTTATCATTTCTTTTTTAATATTTTCATGGTTTTTATAGGATATACAAATATTTAAAAATATACTATATCTATATAGTAGAACTATATACTATATAATACAATTTTATAAAACTGCATATATATTTTATTATTATTAATCGCTTATATTATCAAGAGGTGATTCTATCCCTTACATTCGGTCTCCTAAAAACGAACGCTACTCACAGCAGGTGCTAATTGTATCCGTATGCTCTGAATAAAGTATTATAGATGAGTCTATATCAAAGTGCATAAAAACTTTAAAAGTTTTCCATAAAATATGAATACTGCTTTATGATACCAGCCGGCTGCAGTCCAACATCAATTATTGTATAAGTTTTCCACATTAGGTATTATGCAAAATTTTAATAGAATAAATATTATTCTATTATTCAAATCACGACCATTAACCAAATTTTGAACAAATTCGTTACTTCAATATATTTATTGTTTTTTAATAATAATATTGTTTATTAAATTGTTTATTTAATAATAAAAATTGTATCTATTAAATTAATAATAACTTGGCTATCTTAAGTTAAAAAATTTATTATTAGATCTAATATTTAATATATATTTTTATTTTCTAATATTTTTATATGCCAAAATTTGAATATTAAAAAAATAAATTTCGTTTGTTGAAAAGTTTAATTATAGACAAGTATTTATTTTAATATAAATTAATTTTTTTTTAAAATAATTTTTTAGAAATTCTCATTAAAAGCATTTCATACCTTAGAGTATTACTTATAATCAATAATCCTTTGAAAATCCTTAAAGGAGAACTTCACTTATAGAATTGTACTTACCACCTTTTTAATCAAAAAATCATATGGACTTCTGATTCGTATACTAATTAAATTAGTCACTGATATATATATACCATTATCGACTGTCTGGTATTTTGACATATATATTATATGAAACTAAATATTTTAGATGTTGTGTTTCTCAATCTCAAACTCATTATTTAAGTTTCTATATAAAATGTATTTAATTTCAGTTAGGTGATTATTTTTGCTTAGCCTTGATTATATTTGCGAAGAGTAAGTTTTTATTATCTTTTTTTGGATATAAATTTAACAACAACTTTTTTAATCAATCTTTAATTAATCTTGATTAATTATTAATACACATGTTTTAATAGAATAAAGCATTTCTATATTTTTTATTTGTTTATTTAATTATTTTTTTTTTTTTATTTTAATTAATGTGTAGTATATACTATCATATCTATAAACTTTTTTATGAGCACCAGCTACCAAGACTTTCCATTTAAACATTTATACAATTCTCTAAGGTGTTTCTAATGTCACTCACTTAGGTCCAATGTGATATCTAAGATTTCGGTTACACTGTTTAAGAAACATAGGTTAAAAATACTTTAATTTGTATTATCAGGCAATTTTGTCATTTTAGCAAAATAGTTACTGTCTTTCAAGCACATACTGAGGATATTGGATATACACTTAAAAAACAAGCTCTTCACATTCGATTTAATAAACTTTTTTGCAATATCATTACTTTTATTTTTTATTTATGAGAGACTGCAAATATGACAAACAGATTTTAGTATTATGTATGTGTATGGTAGATTATAATTTATTATATTCAATAAAAACTTTTCTCTCCGGGTTACTAATAGTTATTAAACATATAGAAACTGTTACTTGTTAATCTCGGCCAGTTCCATGTAAATTTTATAATAAAATATATGTTTTTTTATGTATGCATTAATATAACAATTTTTTTATACATAAATTTCTATTCATTCTTATAGCTTATGCTGTTGTCTGCTACCAATGTGAATCTCATTCGAATCCAAACTGCGGTGAAAAATTCGAAGGTTCTAATAACATGAAATTCGATTGTTCCAAAGTCGCACCACCACGCTTCTTACAACAATACTATCCATCAGTCAAAAATGCTACAGGTTGCATGAAGAAGACTTTTGAAAGTGGTAAGTACAACAATAACTTTCACATGTTAAACAAGTATTTAATACAGGGTTTAGGAAACCAATTTAACTTCAGATAATAATTAAAAAAATATAATAATAATAATAATAATAATAATAATAATAATAATAATAATAATAATAATAAATAATAATAATAATTAATAATAATAATAATAGTAATAATAATTATAATAATAATAATAATTAATATAATAATAATAAATTAATAATAATAATAATAAAATAATAATAATAATAATAATAATAATAATAATAATAATAATATAATAATATAATAATAATAATAATAATAATAATATAATAATAAATAATAATAATAATATAATAATAATAATAATAATAATAATAATAATAATAATAATAATAATAATAATAATAATAATAATAATAATAATTAAAAAAAGATTATATATAAAATTATATAATAATTATAACACAATTATTATTGTTATAATTATAATATAATTATTATTATTATATTATTATTTTAATTATTATTATTATAATTACAATATAATTATTATGTTTGTAATTATAACATAATTATTATTATTATTATAGTATTAAAATTATTGTTACAATTATAATATAATTATTATATTTGTAATTATAATATAATTATTATTATTATAGTTATAATATAATTATTATTATTTTAATTATAATAATAATTGTATTATTAATATTATTATTATTAAATAATTATTACAATTATTATTATATAATTATATATAAATATATATAAAACTAAATGCATTACTAACAAATAAATTCAAACTTTGAAAAATATAATTCATATACAACTATTAAAATTATTTTTAAAAATATAAATATATTATCTTCACTAATAATTCAACCTTAATCTTTAGTCATCTTCAAAGTTCTAAAAATATAATAGATTATAGTCGAAATAGTGGTGAAAATAAAATATAATTTTTAAAAAAAATTTAAAAAGTTGTGTATTATTTGAATAACTATAACAATAAAAATAAAATAACAAGAAAAATTCAAATTCAAAAATATATTTTAAAATCTAAAGAGATTTTTGAATTTTGGTGTCCAATAACAATATATTTATATACTATTAATTGTACATTTCGAAAACAAAATGAATGATAATGAAAGAAATATTACATTTTTTATATTATATTATAAATATTATAATATAATAAATAGTTTTTAATTTTTCATATGTTAATTATTGACGACAAAGAAGCTATTTTAAATGTTAGAAGGGTTCGAATTGAAAAGAAAAGACAAGAACAAAAATTTAATTAAAATATTTAAATTTGCCTGACCATATACTATATATCAATTTATTCTATATATAAAATATTGTATGTTCTCTTTGTAATTATTTTGAATGTATTGCGGTTTTCAAGTACAAAGAATTTCGAATATATTTCGTGTGGTATATACTATATAAGCCATATCTATAGTCATTGCTTTATAAGCAGTTAGAAACTGTAAAAATTTCCATTGTATGTGGATTTCTACAAACTATTTTATATGACCACACGGATCCCTTGAAAAAAAAAATTAAATAATAATATATTTAAATAATATAGTTTTCTGATTCGTATGCTAGTTAAATTAGTTACTGATATATCCATATCATATCCACTGTCTTCATATTATTCTGGTATGTTGAGAACCATATATATATTCATTACTTTATAATCAGTTATAGACTATAAGAATTTCCGTTGTATGTGGATTTGTATAAACTATTTTATATGACCACAGGAATCCCTTGAAAAAAAAAAAAATATAATCATATGTTTAAATCATATAGTTTTCTGATTCGTATGCTAGTTAAATTAGTTACTGATATATCCATATCATATACACTGTCTTCATATTATTCTGGTATGTTGAGTACCATATATATTAATCACTTTATAAGCAGTAACAGTTACTGTAATGATTTCCATTGTATGTGGATTGCTATAAACTATTTTATATGACCACACGTATCCCTTGAGATTTTCTAAGTCCGCTACTGTCTTGATACTAAATCAAAACAAAAGCAGAATACTTTTTTTATTTCATTTTATTTTGGATGTGTTTAATTATGTATATTTGAGTAGCTTCTATCTTGTATCTGTTAGCTTTTGCCGTGCTTATTTACGTGTTCATCCACTATTCTTGTTATACCACAAATATTTTACACATTGAATCACATTTAACGCTAACATCATACATTCAAAATTGGTATGATGTCATTTCTTGGCTAAGATAATTGCGTCTTGGTTGAAACGTAACCGCTTTTAGGTTTCGCGGTTTCGAATTGTACTAGGCTTAGAGGAACAATAAAAGATATTTTATAAAACAAAAAAATAAATAATAATAATAATAATATATACAAAACTCAGCTCACAGTGGGAACTGTACTCATACAACCTTATTTGTGTTTAAGTATCTATAATATAAACAAAACAAAAAAAAAAAAAATAACCGGTACGAGATGTTGCAAACAGTCGTGAAAACAACAAATTATTGCATTAAAATATAATTTGAAACATGTCAAGAAATTTGTTAGAGTCGCTGAATTAATATTGAATATCAAATATATAATATATTTTATATATATATATATATACATATACTATGTTAACAAGCTTATTAGAAAGCAATTTGTTGACATTTTTTACTTATTTATCATCAATATAAATTTTTAATTCAAACACGAAAAATGTTTTTAATTTTGCTTAATTAATTAATTAATTTCATTCATATAATTAAAACACTTTATAAAAAATGTCTATAAAATTTAATAAATTCAATAAACTCCATTAAATTATTTAACATTTTAAAAATAATATCTTATATATCTTCACCAAACACATAACATTTAATATTCTCTTCCAGTTATAACTAAAGATATAATAATTACAAATTTTATAATTACAAAAAAAAAAAATAAATAATAACAAAAGCATTGATTATTCACTAAAAATTGCTATTTACTATACAATTTTAATTACTTAATTTTTTTTTCAAATTACTTTAATTATTTTTGTTTAAATAACGAAATCTTGTAAAATAATCAGTGCAAATTCTTCTACAAATTGCTCGTTGCCTTCAATAATTTTATGTGATTCAGTTAGCAATCTTATTAGATTTCATTTGACACGATTCGAACTCAACCAACCGGAAAATTGAGTTTCTGATGTTTTCTACACAATAAACCACTGAAAAACTATTAACAGTTAACAGTGAAATTTTCCAATCAATATCTCATTAACAACAGTGCTTAAAATAATGGACGATAGTTTCTTAAAATATAGATTGATTACTATAGCTGACCGTCTCCTGACAACTTTGAGGTCATCACAATAAGCAGTGCTTCTTGCGAAAATTTATTAAAAAAGTAAAACAATAACAACAAAAGATTTTATTATGCTCATTTATAATCTGCAACAACAGAACAAAATTGATATTTGCTATTGGTGCGCCTATTGTTCCAATTTCTGGAGAAAAAACTTTTAAAATATCTTGTGCATGTCGATGAACATTGCTTCGTTAGTTGAATATGGTAGCACTACTTACTTAGACTTATTAAAAATAATATTTCATATATTTACTTATATAGAATACGTCAGAAAAGGAACTTTGCGAAGTCAAATAGTAAATGATAATACAAAAGTAGGTATGCAAGTATCGTTATATTTCTCAGATCGATGTTTTAGGGTTTTTACGTCTTGCTATTGTTTTAGTTCTCAAGTAGACAGGATTATAGACTAAACTAAGTAAGTATATTGAACCTTAAAAGATCGTTTTCTATAGATATTTTGGTATGTATCACTAAGTGGTGTTAGTTATCATTCATTCACTATATCACCACTGGGAAAGCCTGATAATTTATAAAAATTTTATTGTAAAATCCCTTTTTTTTTAAATAAAACTGAATGTATATTTGTAAATCTTTATTCTATCGTCTGAGCTCTTCAAAGCGAAACTAATGGATTATTGTGCTAACTGTCTTTCTTACTAACGTTCTTATAGAAACGTTTCAATAGAAAGATCTCTATGCTTATCACAGTTTGAAATATACCAGCAGAATTTGAATATCTTCCTAACTTTGATATTTGAGAATTTTCACAGTTATTTAAGCATGGACTTAGCTACCTTATTAAAGCTGACAGAACTATACACAGGAAAGATGGATTGATGAATTGCTCTAGACAAGCATTCTCTGTCTTCAATTTAACGCTTTGTTTTTGTAGGGAGTGCGAAACTGATTGATTTGAAGAAATATTGATTCAATGAGTAAAAACTAATTTTGTTGCCTTGATTTGGTGTTTCTAAATCAACTTTCTTTTTAAGAGTCAGGCTTAGACATATCATTGTATCATTACACTTAATTAACATACACTTAAAAAAATATATTTCGCAACTGTCAATATTCTTAAATTTATTGCCTTAAATTTGTCATTTCTTCAAGTAGTTAATCAGTTCTGGTTAAACTGTAGAAAGCCGAATAAATTTATCTAGAAAAATTTTTTCAGCACTGAAGAAATTTATCTAGTTAAATTTTTTTAGCGCTGAAGTAATTAAATTTATATGGGTAAATAAAAATAGATTAAATCTTTATATATAATCTAAAAATAGATTACCTTTATCTAGGTAAATTTATGTAGCGCTGGATAAATTTATCTAGATAAAGATAATCTATTTTTAGGTTAAAGATAAAGATTTAATATATTTTTATTTATCTAAATAGGTTTGTCTAGCTTTTCACAGAGAGCGAGAGAGAAATTTCTTCTCTGTAGAGAGAAATTTATTTGCATCTACATCAAAATACAGGACGGATGTTTTATCAGCGTATAAAGATAATGCATTGGGTTCTATTTTTGAAATATCCACGCTAATATTTAAGTAAATTATGAATAGTAATATAATATATAAGAATTTATATTATTTAGATATAAATTTTCTATTCATAATTTAAAAAATTATTAAACATTAAATTGGTA